TCATTGGTCCCTCTTCTTTAGAGAAGACCAGGAAATGATGGATACACGGATCGTGTTCAAATCAATAGGCACGCAATGACTAAATAATAATGATCACGCCACCAAACACACATTCAAACTAAAGGAACCAGCCTGTTTGGAAAATGAGAGAAGGAGAAAGTACAGGTATTTGTGTTCAACATGTAAGAAGTAGAAAGTAAAAGGTCGTCAGACTACAATGAGTAGTGGAGTAAAGTACTGATACCAGAAAAATGTAATTAAGTACAGTAACGAAGTATTTGTACTCCACTGCTTCCCACCTCTGTCAACAAGACCAAAAAGCCTAAAACGGGACTCAAAGATAATCTTATTAGATGATCCAATCACGATTCCTGATAACGTCTATGGTCAGTATCATGTCTAAACCTCAGCTCTTCATTGAGTTTCCAGAAAGCTTTTTGAAAGGAGGGAATTCCCAGCACAATTTGACATTTTGCCAAAGTGTAATTCACCCTGGTTTTGGCAGCACGTCCTTGAATAACAAAACACAGCCGCTCTTCAAACTGTTTTACAGAATCTGGAAGTGTTTAATGGTGAATCCTCACAAACCACATTTCTTTTATGGAGCAGTGAACTCTTCCTGTTATTGTAAGACATTTATCACGAATAGATGCTCCAAAGAAAACATCAAATATGTTTTTTCAGATGATTGATGGACAGTTAGCTTTCCCTTTTATCTCTAAAAATATGGGATGTAGAGGATTTGTAAAGATTTTTTTTTACTCACAATCCACTTTCTAAGACTTGCTTGCAACCAAGGTGTTTAAATCCAAATACACTTTAGTTTGGGATTTATTCATGTTTCACGTTTAAAGTTCATTTCCTCTGTACCTGACAAAGGGCTAATTTGGGCATGACATGTTTTTCATGCAATAAAGTAGATTTTTAAAAGGAAGATTTTGGCAGGCAGAAACCCCATCAGTCAGTTTTGCAACCACATATAAAAAATGCAACAATTTTAAGATTATTTAGAATGTGTGTGTCCATAGGTGTGATTGGGTATTTTAAGTCTGTAGTCTCTAAAATAAATTGGAAGTATTACTTGTATAGTGTAATTTGAGAGGAATATGAACCGTGTGTACAATGTTTTGCATTGCATTTGGGGAAACTGTAGTTTGGAACTTGATATACAGTATGTAGTGTTTAACCGTTTTAAAATGTAACAGAAATAATTTTATGAACAAATTGAAATGACAATGAAATGTGAAAAGCTGCTAATCCATGGATTCAAACCAGAGAATCCGAGTTGTAGATCCTCTCAGCTGACCTGTCAAACACAAAGTGAACTTTGAATTTGTTTTGACGGTTGGACTTTGAGATGCCGGCCGGTCACCTGAAGCTGGATAAACACGGCGAAAAAACCTGCCGAAAGAGCTGCAGGAACGAGGAAGTAAGAGTGTTTTTTCACGTCGACAGCCATCTTTTTAACAGGTTTTCAGAGGCCAAAGGGTCAGGAGAGGCAGTGAAACACATAAATGATTATCAATTCAGTCAGAAAACAACATGCTGTGGTCATGTGTTGCTCCTTCATTCAGGAAGCAAAGGGACTTTATGAGAAGGTCTAATTAAAGTGAGCTCACAGGGAAGTCAAACAAATTATATAAAACAGTCCCTCCCTTTATAAGAACACTGAAGGAAATCAAACAAAGACTGCAAACTAATCCCTCAGAGCGTGTGTGTTGTGTGTGTGGTGTTGCTGCATGTGGCAGCCGCGTGTGTAAACTGCCCCGCCCCCTTGCACACAGACCGCGGAGAGATCTCTCGTCTGGATTGGAAACATCGAAAATACTAAAAATGATCATAGACGCATTTTGCAGTCTTTTTGCGTATTAGAAACGGAGTTGGTGAAACTAAAACTGCAATATAATGTTTGTGTAGCAATAATACATATGATGTATTTTTTACATGTCTCCAGTACCGATAAAAAGACCGCTAACGTTGGAGCTTAACGGTACCACGGTCTTTAATAATTCAGCCCCGGGATCGTTTAATACCGGGGCTCGGTACCCATCCCTATTTATTACTATAACAAAAGAAGGCGGGAATTAAACAAGGCTAGCTTTCTTTCTCGTGTTATTTCTCATGCTATTATAAGCAGTATTCATAATATATTATAAGTATTGCTTAGCAAACAGACTGGAAGCAATTGGAAAACAAACATATAGGCTACCTACAACAAGTGGACGTATTATCAACTTAAATTAACAAATTGTCAATTTTTTTATCATGTGCAGATTTAAACAATGTGTCAATGACTTTGAGATTTCCTAGAAAAACAACCAGAATACAAAGAATAAAACCTTTTTTATTGTAATCAACACGGTATATGTTCACAGTCAGGCCAAGCTTCACATATCTTGGCGCAAAAGTCAAAATGTTTTCTCATTTTTTGGCGGAGGAAGTACATGTGCCAAAAAAGGATGGTCTAATAAAGGTGTCAGACATTGAGAAAATTGCAAATGTCCAATTATATATATTTATTTAATGAGCAAATTCACATTTTAGACTGGCACAAGAGGAGAAAATCCCTCTTCAACTTCTTATATATCATAGTATATTATACTACTTCGTTAATGTACATTAATGTCACGTTGAGTACTAGACTTTCTGTTCTACTCCTGTTTCTCAGGCAGTTTTTTGCTTCAATCAAAGTGTGTGAAACATCTCAAACAGTCGCTGTGTCAAAATTTGCCTGAGAGTCGCTGTAAACACACACGTTAACATTTCTGTACACCAAAAATATCTACGTTCAATGACTTTGATTGGAAGTGCTTTTCAAGTTAAGAGAAAACAGACGTGTGTAGAAATATCAAATGTGGTGGAAGAAGTGTTAACTTAAATAGAAGTACTAATACAACAGTGAAAATACTTTAAAATCCTGCATTGTAAACCATATTTAAGTAAAAACACGAGTTATCATCAAGAACATGTGCTGGAAAAATGAAAAACAAATGTACCTTAACTATTATATACGATGCTTTTGGTTTAATATCACTGCTGCAATGTGTACACTTGACAATGTTTATGCATTTAAGTCGATTCAATGCACTTTCCACCACTGACTTTGATTGGAAGTGCTATTCAAGTTAAGAGACAACAGACGTGTGAAGTAATATCAAATGTGGTGGAAGAAGTGTTAGCTTAAATAGAAGTACGAATACAATGTATATAGTGAAAATACTTTAAAATCCTGCATTGTAACTAGGGCTGCTCGATTATGGCAAAAATCATAATCTCGATTATTTGGGTCAATAATTGTAATTGCGATTATTCATTGACTTTGAAAACATTAAGTTTATTGGAGAAAAAAAGTTGAACAGTATGTTTTTAACAGTTGATTACCCGGAACTTTAAGTATAATTCAACTGAAGAACCCAAAAAAAAAAAAAAAAAAAAAAAGTAATAATAATAAAAAAATAATCGTTTTATTTCGATTACGTTGTTTTCGTATATCGTTGCAAGCCATAATCGTAATCGCGATTAAAATACGATTAATTGAGCAGCCCTAATTGTAACCCATATTAAGTAAAAACACGTGCTTAAAATATGAAAAACAAAGTTATTATGCAGTTAGATGTACCGTAACTATTATATATGATGCTTTTGGTTTAATATCACGGCTGCAATGTGTACATTTGACAGTACTTTTACTTCTGTACTTGAGTAAATGTACTTTCCACCACTGGTTGTGTGTGCACTGTAAATGAAGATGAACGACGCCCACACAGTAAAGAAGACAGTGAGACCACAGCAGTTACATGAACACATTTTTATTGCAATAGCTCTATCGAAAGCAAAAAAGTTTTGATAAATATAAACACTATGCCGATGCTCAAATCGCCTGCTCCCGCCCCCCTTTCCCTCCACGAGGAAAAACGAGAAAGAAAAGAGAGAAGGAAGTAACACAAAAACAAAAAAATAGGGGGGGCACCTGCCGAGGCGCCGATCATAACATGAAAAAAGCGACAACTTGAGTTTTCCTTATTTACAGAAGGAGGATTTTCCATTTCCAACACATTTTTTAACTCTTTTTTTTTTTTTCGTATATGGGACGTACGTCGCTGAAAAATAATGCACATACGAAGGATACACACCTCCACAGTATTTTTTTTAACTCTTTCTCTTTCATGTAAAGCTAATAAACAACATCGTTCAACTCGGAAACTAAGAACACATGAGATCTGCTTCCCAATCCCCCTCCTCCCAAATCATCTTCATCGACAGCATTTCCGACCGTTAACTGTACTACACAGCAGCAAATAAACTGTAATATAGTTACAAAAAAATAAACATTAGGCAGACGTTGTTGCCCATTTCATTATACAAATAACTGCAAAATGCCTATGTACTCTTAAAAAAGAAAAATACTAGCCTTGCTTTGTTTTTCAGAGAAACAAGGTCGCCCCAATACGACAAAAACAACCAAAAATAAGATGATTATTCCCCTCTGTAAACTAGAATACAAAAGAAACCAAAATATTAGAGGAAAAAGGAAATTGCATAATGATGCAGTAACCTTAAGTCTTCTCTGCGAGGATTATATATATATATATATAATGATATATTACGTAGGTCTTCTTTCTCATTTCTCCACCACCCAACAAGAAAAATTCACAACAGCTGATTTTCAACATCAGAATGGGTAAAATCGAGGACAGTTTTGAGGTTGAGTAGTTGCCAAAATAAACACAGATTCTGTGTAAATCAATTCAAGGTCATGGTTTAAAAAAAAGGGGGTCAAATCCAACATGAAGGCAATCAGACATGAACAACATTTAGCCATTTTTTGAATAATGCTTCAAATAAGTTACAGAGGCTTCTTTCAAAATCCCCCCCCCCCCAAAAAAAAAAATCTTGCATTTACCATAAAATAAAACTCAAAAAGCAACACTTCGCTGTAGCATAGCAAGTACACAAAACATAAGAAAATGTTCTTGGGCAGCAGCCTTAATATTATTTGATCGTCCGACGAGCGGGGCAAATGAAAAGTATGTCAGATTGTTCGTAATGTACATATAAGACACGTCACAGGCTTCAAAAACAGCATTTGGTGGGTTTGAAATCAGACCGTTTGAAATGTGGATGATAAGGGAGGGGGAAGTGGAGTTTCTGTACCGACGTTTTTTTCCGCTTAAACCTCGACACAAAACCGTCTTCAAACGAGGATTATTTAAAGACACTCGGCTCAGTCGCTCAGATTTCCTGCTGTGCGGCACCACAATGATGCGTCGCACACAAAAGAGCAGCGAGAGTGACAGGCCTTTTCAGTCTAAATGAATTCAAAACAACAAAACAAAGAGTGGGAGGATTAAAAAGAAGGGAAGCATTTGTAGCATTAGATGAGCGAATGCTGGAAAAAAAAATTGCAATTCTGCGGGCTGTCAGTCTAGAAATAGGAGAGGAGAAAAGTAGAAAGGCTAAATATGGGCGTGTCAGTCTGTTAAAGTCTGTTAAAGTATGTGTGTGTGTGTGTGTGTGTGTGTGTGTGTGTGTGTGTGTGTGAAGAGGCAGCAAGCGTTCAGATAGGACTGTGATTGATGTGTGTGTCCACCGCCTGTCCGAATGTGTGTGCGTGTGCATATACGGGTGTGTGAGAGTTTGTAGCGGGGCGAGTGTGACCAGCGCGCTGCACCTGGGGCTAAAGCTCAGGTTACTGGAAACCCCTTTGCGTCACCAAGTGTGTGTGAGTGTGTGTGTTTGTGCGTCAAGAGAGCATTGACAAAGAGCCAAAATGGGGGCCTAAATAGAGCAGACATGGGAGACGCCACATGACCGTGAAATGTGTCTTTATGACGTGTGTGTGTGTGTGTGTGTGTGTGTGTGTGTATATAAATGCCACAGCTGTAAGGTACACACTTCACTTGCAGATATTTTGTGTGTATGTGTGCATAGGTGTTATGTTTGCATCCCAGTGTCAGCATCTGTACTTTGTGCTTTAACCTTTTACACTGGTGTGTGTGTGTGTGTGTGTGTGTGTGTGTGTGTGTGTGTGTGTGTGTGTGTGTGTGTGTGTGTGTGTGTGTCTTTCCCTCGCTAACCTGAACTGTGCTACGGACCATATGAGGTCAAACTTAAGAAAAACAAAAATGAAAAAAAAAACCTGCTTTAGGACCGGATAAGTCAAAGTCGAGTTTCCAAAACCGCTACAAGCTAATTCCTCATGTCATTTTTTTTAAAGGAATAGTTTTCTGCTCGTCAGGTTTTCGATGATGCTAGCTTAGCTTAGCATCAAGACTTGAGACGGAGGGAAACAGCTAGCCTAGCTCTGTTTTAAGGTCAACAAAATCCACCTGTCAGTTACTCGAGATCTCAATAATGATGTGATATCTTTTTGGTTTAACCTGCACAAAAGCCAAAGGGTACTTTTCGGCATTTTACGAAATGGATTTACGAGAGGGAAGGACAACAAGACTTCAGGAAATTGTCCTCCATAATAACAGCCCATAAAACATGAATTATTAACTTTACACCTGGGTTGTATGTACAGATTGAACAATACAAGTTATAAAATGTCAAACTATAAGCTTCAAAAGATACTGTAATGTCTCATTTGAAAAATTCAGACTCGGCTAACTGTTTCCCTCTGCTTCCAGTCTTTATGCTAAGCTAACTAGCCTCATAGCTTTTGCCAAAAACGACCCCTTTAAACACATCAGTAATGAATAAAAAACAATAAAACTTTCCAGCATTGCAGAGTACCATCGCTGTAGTGAAAGCAAACAAAGAAATGTACCGGAATATTTGTACCTATTGCAACAAATAAATATATAATATGTGCTACAGAACATGAGGAGGGTAATCGTTTTAAGGTTGTTTCAGTACACTGTGTTAAAGATGGTATTTGGGAACAATCGCAGTACCTGTGAGCTTGTACCATTTATTTGGGTAATCTATTATAATAAATCTACTCCAACTTATGTCATAACTGTACGGTACCATATTGAGGAAGGATAATGCATGGGGGGTACAAAATAGAATTAAAATCATATTTTAAAGTCAACGCAACATAAAAGTCCGTACCAATAATGCCGTTGCTTCCAGCGTCCCTTTTTTAATACCGTATGGAGAGCCTGATAATGAGGCTCTTTTTAACCCCCCCCCACCAAAGTCTGTTGAAAAAGCAGCGTACACTCGCAGCATTGATTGTGAGAGGGGGGAAATTATATTAAAAAATAAAACAGGACAAGATATGCATAAAAAACACTAAAATAATGATAAAATACACTTATAAAAAATGCAAGCCTTTTAGTCATCTGTTGTTGTTGTTGTTTTTCTGCATCCAGAGCGGCTTCTCCGTCTGTGTGAAGAGGTCAAAGGTCGAGAGCCCCGACCAGAGAGATGAGGAGGAAGAGGAGGAGGAGGAAGAAGGGGAACCATTATCCCGACGCTCAGTCTGTAAGAGAAGATGAAAGAGAAGAGGTCAGAAATATAAAATAGGTGGTCTCGGTGGAGCGCTTGCTAGTGAACTCTGGAGCGGTTCATCGCTGGTGTGAACGCAGTCCGCACCAAAACATAGGAAGCGTAGTATTTACGAGTCACAAGAACACGGATGTTTTCAAAATCCTTAGCGAAAGAGTGAAGCAGAATGAAGTGTTGAACAGTGTAAAAATGCTCCGTCAACTATACATAAAAGTCAGAGCCACCTGTCGTCGGTGAAACGCCCTCCTGACTGCAGAACGTCTCATTATATGTGTTATAATGTTTTTTATTGCACGTTGTCTGATTATATGATCATATGTGCCGTCTGCTAGAGTCCATTGATATGCTCTCCAGATTAACAGCAGCATGAAAATGACCTGCCGATGCTCCAAAGCTCCGGTAGAAATTGTCAGGATTTGCGTTTTTACCCCCTTAATGTCTGACCAATGGTTGAACAGCATTTCCGAGCACATGACTTGTGTTTAAACTTTAACGGTACGTCCACACAGCAGCTTTAAAAAAATCTTCCATCGCTTCTCTGCCCATTGACTTTGAATGGGGGTGACGTCACTTTGCCTCGCTTTTCGCCGAACTGCATTGTGGGGAAGCGAAGCGAAGATTTCCAGGATTTCCAGGATTTTCAGGATTCAAAAGTTGAGCAATGTTCAACTTTTGAAGCTGAGATGGAAGCGTCAGCCAATCAAATCCCGTTTATGCAAATCTGACAGTACAAGCGCTAGCCAATCAAACCGCGTGCAAGCTGGGAGAGACATACCGCAGTTCATTTCCTCATATTCCAAACGAGAAATTACGGTAGCAAATCACCCGTTTCTTTACGACCAGAACTATTTACCGGGATACAAACCGGAGGAACCAGGCATGGAGGGAGGTGGCAGAGACAGTGGGGGAAACTGGTAGGTTTTCGCCTGTTTGGGGATTTTATATCCAGTTTACTTCGTTTTAACATTGCTATTGCTTTGTATGTCGGGGGCGGGAGATTCATGTGATTGGTTGTTGGTCGCGTTGCTCGCAAAAAATGGCCAAGCTTCAGACACGCCCAGCATCAAGATTTTTCAAGATTTTGAAAATGTGGTGTCTAGTGTCGCGAGAGTTTGGTGAGGTGAGTCAACTATATTATTAGTCATAAATCTTTGGTTGAGGGTTTATTTACAGGTACACGAGAATCGTTCGCCGTCCAGTTCCGAGGTGACCACAAACCTATAACTTGGTTACTGTACGGTCACCTACTTTCTCTAAATTTAGTCGTTCGTGCAGATTTTAACCGAAAGCTGTTTAATTTCAAGGTAACTTTATTTAGTACTTAACACCCTTTTGTTTAAATGGCCAGTTAGTCCAAAGAAAGACGACGGCAAACAGAGGTTCGTCCGAATGCCCTTTATTATGACTGGGACAAAAGTGTACCTTTGAATCACCTTCCTGTGTGTTCTTCTTGGGTAATTTAAACGTGAATTTATTCTTAAGCTCCGTAAAACATTAACTTACACAGACAAAGTTGTTGTGTGGTCTTGTTTGGTAAACACGGCGTAAAACCACCACAGGACTATTTTCCTGTTTAAGTGCATTCTACTGAGGTGAGACTTTTCGTTGTAGACTCTCGTCGGTAGTTGCACAACAAATTTGCGAGAACTCGTTATATATTTCTTGCAGAAAACCTGGACAGGAATAACAAAGGGTGCCATGTTGAGTTTGAGGGTGTGTGTGTTCATTCCTCTTTCTGAAAGGTTGAGTCTTACTTTTGATTCTCTGTGTACTTACGTGGTAACCAGCTTACAGACGCGAAAATACTACCAGTAGGTTTACATAAATAATTGTATAAAAGCTTCTGAGGTGGTGACTTCAAAAGGTTAGATCAAATTAGGGTGTAAAATAAAACAATAATTTCCAGGGTACAGTACCGGTAAAGATGACTTAGTATTAAGGTAACAACTCCGGTATAATTTTATCTTAAATAAATACCACCGTTAAAAGGTTTGAGTGTAACCAAAAGAGTATTTCGTAGAACATTATCATATCATAAGTGAGAGACAGGGTGTGCGAACTACCTCGAGGGGGGGGGAGGACACTCGGTCACCGGCAGACGCTCTGTGTCGCTTGGGTCAGGCTTGTGTGTTGTGGCGTCGGACCGACCCTTCAAACACACGTGACGTCGTAATGGTTATGGGAGAGACAAAAAGTCGGACAAAGGTGTGGCTGAGGTCGGAACGCGCAGGGGACAGAGTCCCTCCTCTTTAGCGCCTCGACGTGACTCTTTTCTAACTCACACCGGCACTCCTCAGGCGCACTAACCGGGTAAACCTGGTTAGGTTGTCTGAATTAGCATTGCCGAAGGCGCCTGCATTGCATTGCCGAAGGTGCCTAACCAGTTAAACCTGGTTACCCAGGTAAACCCATACCCGTACATGACATGGGTCCTTCTTTTCTCTTTAGAGGTTGCTCCGCAAGACCCGT